CCAGGTGCAGTAGGCGCCGGCATCCCAGGTGCAGCCTCCCCAGCAGAACTCTGGAACAGCTGGAAGCCAGGCTTAGGCACAGGCTTCTGGTTGGCGCCGCACAAAAGACCCATGAATTCTTGGAGAAAAGAGGCTCTCATCCCCTCTCTCTGAAGGTTACACCCATTGCTATGCCCTGAGGGACCCTCAGTGGCAAGCCCAGAAGCTTCCCACTCCACACTTAGCTGTGAGCAGAAATGTGGGGAGAGCTGCACATGTCCAAACCTGAGACAAATGACGAGAAAAAAGGGTCTTTGGAGAGTCTTAAAATCCTTTCTTAGGGCTGGGCATGGTGGCGCACACCTTTTGCCCCAGTACTTGGGAAGCAGAGACTGGCAAATCTCTGAGTTCAAGTCCAGCCTCGTCTGTATATCAAGTTCCAGGCCAGCCAGAGCTAGAGTGAGGCCCTTTCTCAGAAAATTCATTTCTTAAGATCTTTGGAGACATGTGAGCTAGCATAGTTATCATAAACAGAATGGGGGCTGTCAAGATGGCTCAGCAGGGGTAGGAGCTTGAGTTCAATCCCCAGAACCCATGCAAAGGAAGGAAAAAACCAGCTCCTGAAAGCTGTCTTGACCTCCACATGCATGCTGTATGTAGCACATGTGTACACACAAGCAAATGAACAGATGCAATTTTTAAAGACTGGGATGTAGGGGTTGTAGTGTAGCATCGTATTACCGTGTGATAAGTGTTCCACAGGTTACAGTCCAAGCAGCACACACATCAAACAATAGCCACAGCAGACTGGACGCTGTCTTTGTTTGGTTTCTGTTGCTGTGATAAACACCACAGCCGAGAGCAACCTGCGGAGGCAAAGGTTTATTTCAGTTCACAGCTGTAGTCCGCCGCGAAGGGCAGCCAGGCTAGGAGCTCAGGGCAGGAGCTGGAGACAGGAACTGAAGCAGAGGCCATGGAGGATCGCAGCTCACCGGCCTGCTCAGTCAGCTTCCTTATACAGCCCAGGACCCCTGCCCAGGGGTCGCACCACCCACACCTGTCCAGGGCTGGGCCTTCTGCCCTCCCGTACCAATCATTCATCAAGAAAATCCCTCATAGACTTGACTAATCTCTGAAAGGACCCAAGTCACCACAGGACATATCAAGATCAAGTTCTCAGCACAAAGGAGATTTATTTGCCCCAGAGTGGGACAAAGGACTGCTTCTGGATAGAGAGGAGACAGATGTGGCACATGGGAAAAATGGCAGTTTATAAGGGGGAACCTCCATGTCAGCATGAGGTGTTTAATTTTGATTGGGCATGTTGATTAGGATGGCCAGCGGGGGGGTGGCATTTTGATTGCTGGACTTTAATACTTTGATAGCTGGACCTTGGTAGTCAGCCTCAGGAGGAGGAAGTGGCCAAGTACTGGAATAGACCTTCAATAGACCTTCGGGGCTAACTTCAGGAATGTAATCTAACAGTTTGTAGCAAGGCAGAGGGACGGGGTGAGGGGGAGAGAATGGCAAGGCCTGCTGCTCCCATGTGTGCCAGACTCTGACCTCTTAAGGCCCTTCATTCTCAACTGAGGTTTTCCTTCCTAGATGACCCTGGCTTGTGTCAACAACACAGGTGCTAAAAAGAGGGATCAATCAAGAATAAAAAAGAGTATTTGAAATTTTAAAAAAACAAGAATCAATATCAAAATATCAGCATCTGGGAAGGAGGTATAGACATCTGACAAATTAAACCAAATGACAAAATATGAAAAAGAAGAATGTCCAACAAAAATGGAGAGAAAATTTGCAGCAAAGATGAGAAAGCTTCCCGGAGTGACAGTACAGAACGAGAAAGACAGAAAGATCTTCCCCTACAGTGACACATGGCTGTGAAGTTACAGGAAAATGGAGAAAAATAGATGAGAACCCCAAGAGTAGCGTGAATCCTAATTGGTCTTAATAATAAAAACCCAGAGTCAGATATTGGGTGAAAGATCGGAGAAGCAGAGCAGCCAGCCACTAATTCTTACCTCTGTGAAGTCCTCAGACCAAATGGAGTATCCTGTCTCTACAAGTCCTTGGACTGAATGTCTTGAGCTCCTGCCTCCTCCTGGCTTATTTTCCTCTCTCCACCCAGCCATATCCTTTCCTGTCTACACCTCCCTAATGTTCGGATTAAAGGTGTGTGACTCCCAAGTACTGGGATTAAAGGTGTGAGCCACCACTGCCTGACTCTTTCTCTTTGAGACTGGAACAGTCTAGTGTAGCTCAGGGTGGCCTTGAACTAACAGAGCTCTGTCTGCCTCTGCCTCCCTAGTGCTGGGATTAAAGGTGTGTTCCACGACTGCCTGGCCTCTATGGCTAACAAGTGGCTAGCACCACACTCTGATCCTAAGTCAAGTTTTACATGTTATAGCATGAACATTTAAGGAGAACCAAGGCAAGGCTCCTATAGGAAGTAGGAACTGACTGGTAGTTTCTGGAAAAGCATCCCTTCAGAGGAAGAAGAAGGTCAGCCCGACAGTTCAGCAGGTAGAGTGCTTGCTGCATCCACCTGGGAACCCGTTTGACCCCTGGGACCCACATAAAGGTGCAGGGAGAGAACCAGCTCTACAAAGCTGTCCTCTGTCCTGTGTGCCCACACATGCACGACACATGCGCACGCACAACGTGCACACACACTACTAACAAAATAAATTCAAAACCAGAAAAGGACATTGTTTTCCAGTAAAAATCTCAAATACAACCAGATTGTTGTTAGAGGGAAGGGTAGGACCGAGGCAATTTAACTGAAGGACTCAGAAGTTGCTCTCTGCATCATTTCGGAGGAAGCTGTCAAAAGAGATGGTGCCACCAAAATAAGGACAGAAACACTGGCTTCTATGCGGGATAGATCCCATAAGGAAAGCCAAGAGGCTGCAAGAGTGGCTGGGTCGTGAGACTCTCCCCCAACCACACCACACCACACACACACACACACACACACACACACACACACACACACACACCAGAACAGGAAGTCCAGATGAGATCAAAGGGAGCGGATCGGCTCCTGTTGTAGGGAATGCTTGCTTTGATGTTTTCATAGATAAAAACATTTGGAAGAAATTAGTGAGAAGCTCAAAGAAAACAAAGCAAATAAAAAACAGTCAATTATTAGTTTCAGGGACAAAACGTAAGCTGTATAAGTAGCAGGGCGTGGTTGCAAGGATGTCCCTTGACTCAGCAGTGAACAGCATTTGATAATAAAGATATTGTTAACGTTGGGCCTGTGAGTTGGCTGGGCAGGTAAAAGTGTTAACCTGACCATATGAATTTTATTCCCAGAGCCCATTGTGGAAGGAGAGAAGTGACTTCAAGTGATCCTCTGACTGACTACCACATACATGCCATCATACATACACACACACACACACACACACACACACACACACACACACACGCAAGCACACACATGCACACAAACATAATGCAAAAAAAAATAGAGGAAACAGCTATGCAAGAGCCCAGGTTTAATCTCCAGTACTACATACACACAAAGACACAGACATGATACATAATGAGTATATTTTTGTGGGATTTTTCTGGCACATTGGAAGTGGTAGCATAGTGGACCTAGGAAACCCAGCTCTCTCCCTTGCATGTCACTAGGACATCACCTCCTCTGCCCGGTCAGCTTCCTGTCTGGGATGTGGGTGGGTTAGATGGGATCTATCTAGCACCACAGTCCTATGCCTTGGGGCTTTTCAAGGTATCAGACTACTAACGAGCCATTATGTCTGGCTTTGTTTTTATTTGCTTTTTGCACTGAGACAAGGTCTCACTATGAAGTCCTAGCTGGCCTGGAACTTACTATATAGACCGGTCTGACCTGGGACTCATAGAGATCCGCCTGACTATGCTCTCAAATCTGGGGCTAAAGGTGTGTTGGCCACCACTCTGACTTGGCACCAGTTTTTGAGGAAGTGTCAGGCGCCAAAATGTAACTTGGAAGGTGTCTGAGATCCTTCAGCCTCTGCCACCCACATCCTCCCTCTCTGCAATAAGAACCCCAGCCAAGGATGTTCAGAAACAGAAGACCTGAAGTCAAGCTGTGGAAACAGTATTCCAGTTCTGTTAGAATTTCAGACAATCCACAGGTTGTGTCGTAGAACAAGCAAAGGACAGAATCCCGCTATCATCTGGAAGGCACGCTCAACTGTTCACGGTAGCCTTTCAGTTGGGTTCCTCTCCTGTGAACTGCCAGTGGGAAGCAGCTGTGGCCAGGGTTGGTAGGGGTTAAGCCCAGGCCCTGGCAGCTCTACTGAGCTAGGCTCAGCCTCAACCTCAATAGATCAATTAAAGGAATAAGTGATGGCCAAAGGCAGAAAACAAAGGTTTAATCCATGAGACCACATTGGGAAGAGGATCAGAGAGGCCAGAGGCCTCTGGCGCCATCTTCACAGTCCTGGCTTGAAGGTTTAAGATTAACTAGATGACCAGATGAACCCAGGGCTAAGGGGTCCTGGCTGTGTTCCCACTATCATCAACCCATCGTTGTCTTGGCTCCTTTTCTTCCTCAAGGTTGTCTGACAAGTGATCAGAATTGTATGAAATCTCTCCAGGGAGACAAGTTCTTTTTCTGGCTGGCGCTAGACTTCAGTCTTTTTCTCCCAACATGAGACTCTTGGGGAAATTGCCATTCCTTAGGGTATAGTGTCCTGAAGGTATGATAGCCAAAGGGAGGGACACACGTGTCTTTTTAGAATGTCTTCATTTCTACCAGGGTGGTTACAAGCTATAGGCACTAGGAGATGGTGGCTATGAATGGCCCAATGAGGGTCCTTTACATAGAGTGGGACCTCTGTCTCCAGTCTGTACTTCTCAGGGGTAAGCTAGCAGAAGGAATCTTACTGACTTATGAGAAGGGTGTGGTTTATTGGTCAATCTCCTCCTTAACTAGACTGGGACCTTTTCTGGGGTAGGAACCTGGCTTCATCCATTTTGGGAACCTCAGAGTGATGCTTGACCTAGTGTGGGTTGCAGAGACAGCATGCCCTGTCCCCCTGCCACTTACTCTCTGGCGGATGGAGCCAAATTTACACCATGGATGGGTGGGTAAAATGGTGCTAATGGGGAAGTTGCACCCCATGGTGCTCATGCAAAGTGCTAAGTGCTCAGGAGAGATGCTAAGTGCCCACACAGTCTCTTCAGTTGAGCCTCCCAATGACTCCATGAAGTAATTATTATCCTCCTATTGGAGATAAAGAAACCCAGAGGGCCAAGACCATCAGGTTGGTTATGAAGGGGGAGCTTACCAGGATCCAGGCTGTTTGGCTCCAAACCAGTTTCTTCTCACTGGTCCCTGATGTTCAGGTGCCAGACAGGAGTGTGCAGACAGGACAGACAATGCATTGAAGATGGCGAGAAAGCAAGCAGTTTGGAGTCAGTACTGTCTGCTCTGACTCAGATCTTACTGTGTTTCCAGGAGATTAGTTACCTCCAGTTCCCCGGAGAACTGTTGATGAGGATGCTGAAGATGCTAATCCTGCCACTGGTGGTCTCCAGGTGAGAGGGGGGAGGGGGAGAGGCAGGGCACAGGGAGCTGACTGGTGGTCCCCAGGTGAGAGGAGGAGGGAGGGGCACAGGGAGCTGACTGGTGGTCCCCAGGTGAGAGGGGGAGGGAGGGGCACAGGCGCTGACTGGTGGTCTCCAGGTGAGAGAGGAAGGGGAAGGTGAGGGAACAGGGTGCTGACTGGTAGAGGAGGGGAGAGGAGAGAGGGAGGACACAGGGCGCCGGCCTGTTCTTCTGAGGTAGAGACAATGCTTCCAGCCAGACCCCCAGTCAGCAGCTTCGCCCTTCAGAAGCCTTCCCTGGCTCCTCAACCCACACCAAGTATTGCCGCATCCTTTTATGCAAGCTTTTGTCATCACTGTGGCAAAACTCCCAAGAAAATCGACTTGAGGAAGGAATGAGTTTTCCCTCACCATTTCAGAGGTTTTGATCCATGGTCACTGGGCCCGTCGTGAGCAGAGCATCATGGTACGGAGCATGTGTGGATAAGAGCTGCTTAGCCTGTGGCACCTGAACCGCAGAGGGAGAGTAGGGGAGGATCTGGTGTCCCAGTGTCACCAAGAGCATACCACCAGTGACCTGTCCCAACACCCCAGTAAGTTAAGGACCCATCAGTCAGTGAACTCAGAGCCCATGACCTCTTTCCCAAAGATCCCCACCCCCAAACAGTGCTGCACTGGGATTAAACATTCAATACATGAGCTTGGAGGGACACATCAAATAAAAACCTGTAACCACCTAAATCTCAGCACCCCTGAGAACAGAGCACCCCGACTCTCCTATGAATCCCACAGGCTGTTAGCCAACTCCTTGATGTCTCTGCCATGGATGATGCGCAGAATCTGAAGTTAGGGTCACCAACTAGAGATTTTACTGAGCACTGAGCGTCCCCCCACTCTCTGCTGTCAGTAAATGGCCACTGCAGCTGCCTAGAACAATGGCTCTTTCCTTGCCCAACACCAGACTGTCGACAGTTTGAGCTGACTCTCTCCCCATAGAACCTAGAATACAGGCACCGAGCTCTGTCTTCCTCATCTGAACCCATAGGCCCCCTGCTTGTCCCCACACAGCCATCTCTCCCCCCACCCAGTGGTCAGAACAGTCTGAGGTAGCCTCATCTCATGTCTCACCATTGCCAGTCCTGTGAGCCTTTGGTCCCTGATCAGACCAGACCCTTGCCTAGCTTGGGGCCTCTACACACGCTGTTCCTTCTGCCCGGTGTCCTCCTTTGTCTCTCTAAAGCACAGACGCCCTCCAACCAACCCTCCCCACCACCCTTGCTAGATGGATTCCGCTCTGCCCTCCTCCAGGACACTTACTGTTCCTTGTTATTCTCTGTGTGTTCACTTGTTGGCTTGTCCATTTATCTTCCCAAGGACTGCAATCTTAGAATGCTTGTCTAATGAGTCAGCGGCTCTACCAACGGTACTCCTGCGCATGCCTGCTGGGTGCCCAGCCCTGATGGGTACTGCAGACCCAAAACTTAGTTTCTGAACTCAAGTTGTTTGCAGACTTTAGGTCCAACTGGCCAGGGAAACACAGTTCCCCAGCAGCTAGGGAATGAGACAGGCTTCCTTCTGGGTGGCTTTGTGTCCCTTTGCTGTGCCTCTACTCTCCTTGTTGCCTTGTTGTCCTTGTTGACTAACTACTGTGTTAGTCAGGACATAGATGCCACACACAGCAGCCCCTGTAGTCATGTTGGTTTTCCCACCCTGCCCTTGTCACTTGGTCAAGAGAATCCTATTTGGAAGTCTGTGGCCTTATGCATAGTCCTGCCCCCCACCGTACGGCCTGGGGAAAGCCACCCTTCCCCAGTCTGTGCTCCCGGTGACAGGTGTCTGTCTGTCCAGCCCTCCAGCTCCTTACTCTCTCCACTAGACCAGAACCCTCCTCCTGTCTGGAACTGGAATGCTGTCTTAACTTGAGAAAAGCCAATGTGTTCGTGTTTCCTTTGTTTATTAGATAGTTAGAACTGGTACAGAGCAAGCGTGCCACCGAGAAATGGACACACTCTAACATTTCCTACCAACAGAGAATTAAACCTTTGTGGGGGAAAATGACATATCGCTTTTTTGATTTTTTTTCCTGGTCTAGAGCTCAAAGCCAGGGTCTCACAAATGGTAAACAAGTTGTTACCACTGAGCCACATCCCAAGTCCAGTATGATGTATTTCTGATTTCCCAAGTCTATTAGTCCTGAGCCAGCCCTCTTTAAATTCTTACACAAGACTGTCGTCTGTGTTCCATTTACCACTGTCTCCTGAGCCATCAGCCTGAGCTGGCATTCCTGCCCTGCGCACCACTCAGGTGTGGGCACCAATCGGGTGGTTGCAGGCACAGTGAGTCAGATGCCAGGCTTAGCCTGGACTAAACTCCACCAGAACTGACAAGGGACTCGAGGCAGTGTGAGCTTTCGAAGCCTCAGGAGTGTTCCGATGTTTTCTTTAAAACCCAATTCTCTTGCGGTCCAGCCCTCAGCTGGGTAGCTGAAGAGCCTGGCTTGGGGGCTGCTGCACCTCCATCCCGGAGCTCCTGGCTGCGTCCCAAGAGCCAGTGGCTTTCTGTAGCATCTGCCTTAGGGAAGCGGAGGGCACAGCCAGCTCCAGTGAGATGTCAGGGCCTGGAACCATGCTGACCACCTAGTCTTGCTAGGCATGCCACACGTTCCTGGGTCTCCCCACCTTCACTTACACTGCCCCAGACCCTCTCTTTATTTAAAGTCTCACCCACATTCACACTCCTGCTCCTGCCTGACATCCTCCTGGCTCCTTATTTGTTGATAGCGATGGGTGATGGCCCGTGTCTTCCACCTGTCACATTTGTGACCCTGAATGTGTCAGACCACCAGGTAAATGAATTCGCAATTGCATCTGACATGCCTCGTTCTGGGATCTGGGTGCCTTTGTAAAGCCCCGGGGTGAGAACATGTAAGGAAGCATTCCTCCCTGGAATGGCCACTTATCCCAGCCGGGAGGGATTCCTGGGTAGTGCTTTTCCATTAAAGGGTTGTACGCAAGGCCCTGGGAGGACTGGACTGGGCATGTTTCTCCTGTCTTTCACACTGACTTCTATCTGGTACTCTTGACCCAAGAGACTGGAGAGAGGCATGACAATGACATTGAAGACTGCTTTGGAGGGTCTCACGGGGAGGGGATAGAGCAGGGAGGGTCAGTGAGGGTAGGGTGAGGCCTGTGGGGCTTGGTTGGCGTCCATCACAGCCGTTCTTCCACAATCAGTATCCTTTAACTCCTGGACCTCCTCGTTTAGAATCTCCTCCCACCTAGCCCGGGTGAATGCAGCCTGCCCTTAGCTCTCTGTGGCCGTGGGAATCAAAGTGAGGGAGAGGTGGGTGAAGCTGGGATCCTGCAGAGGATCCCAGGAAGAAGCAGGACCTTTGGGATCCCTTCCTAGATGTGTTATTTATTGGAGGGGAGGGGAAGCATGTGCCACTGAGTATGTGTGGAGGTCACAGGACAGCTTGTGGGAGTCCCCTCCTTCCAGCATGTACGTTCCAGGGATAAAACTCAGGTCGCCAGTCTTGATGTCAACCACCGTTAGTCCCTGAGCCATCTCACTGGCCCTAGGTGGGCGTGGGAGCCTGAGCAGCATCTGCAAGATGGGACAATCACCTGTTCACAGGGCTGCTGGGAGAAGGTTTAAGATCAGGCACAGCCCTGCGCATGATGGGCATTGCATATTTATCTCTAACTTATTAAAGAGTCTCCGAAGCCTCGGTATTTCACAAAGCCTCTACCTCCATTTCTGCTGTCAGGGGTCATAGCACCACCAACACACACGGCACCTCCCCTGAGAAGTTCTCTTTGACAGAGACACTGACACAGCCGTCCATACAGGTCTGAACCTCCCAAGTGGCACACCCATGTCTCTCGGGTCTCACCATGATTCAATCATGGCGCCCTGAGCCACACTTCTTCATGCTTCATGAATTCTCAGGGCTATTGCTTCTTGTTTCCCTCTGCTCTCACGATCCTACAATCCAGCAACCTCCACAGCGTCCCACCCCTGGGGAACGGAAGGTTGCGAATGGATCAATGTCTCTGGAAGCGGGGAGCACACACTGGAGTCTTTAGCCTCTTTTGTCTGTTATTTCCAAAGTCCAAGCCTGACTGGGTCCCTGATCTCTGTGTCTCACACGGTCCCAGTGTAGGGTCAGCTGGGCCTCTTCTCATCTGGGTGCTCTCCTGTGGAAAAATCCACTTCCAAGCTCCCTCAAGCTATGGGTAGAAAAGTTAATTCCCTGCAGCTATTGGCCAGAGGGCCCAGCGTCTATTGTTTTTGTTTGCTTGTTTGTGGTGTGTGTGTGTGTGTGTTATTATTGCTTTGAGACATGGTCTTCTCTAGTTCAAACTGACCTCAAATTTAATACATGACCCAGGGTGACTTTGAACTTCTGAGCCTTTTGCTTCCACTTCCTATGCATTGAGATTATTGGCCTTTGCCACCTCATCAAGCTCTGGGGATTAAACCCAGAGCTTCGGACATGCTAGGTTGGCACTCTCCAATTGAGGCACAAACAACCCAAGGGTCAGTTTCTTGATGGCTGCCCTCTGTCCTCAGCCACCTGCAACCCCTGGCTTCCTGCGCTCTTCACAGATGGTTCACAACTTGGGTTCAGCTTTCTCAAGACTGGCAAGAAGACCTCACTCTCGTCCTCTAAGGCAAAGTCACACATGATATGCCCATACATGGTATACGTTATATGGTCATGAGTGTTACATCCCATGCTCATGCATGTTATATGGTCATGAATGTCACACCTCATGCCCATACGTCTTATATATTATATGGTCATGAGTGTTATATCCCATGATCATGCATGTTATATGATGGTCATGAATGTTATACCCCATGCTCATGTGTGTTATATGTTATATGGTCATGGGTGTTACATCCCATCACTTTTGTCACGCTTGTCAGAAACAGGTCACACTCAGGCGAAAGGGCCGATGGCACAGGGCCAGGGCCCTAGGAGG